GCCTTCTTCGTTTGCTTCTTTTTTTCCCGGCGAATCAAAGCCTGTTTTTTTTACTCCGGCGACCATATTTTTACTCGGAGACGTTCCATTTCCCGACGTTCTTCTCGTTTTGTTTTCTGGTTTTACATCTTCCTCTTTCTCTGCGGCGAGAGTTTTTCTGTTTTCCTTCTATCGAAACCAATCTCCGGTTTGCTGGATTTTTTTTCCCGGTTAGATTGGTTCTGATTGCAGAAGCAAATCGGTTTTGTTGGATTTAAGCTAGAGCAGAGAGGAATCGAATCGTTTTCTGGGATCTATAGAATGTACAGAGAAGAGACGAAATTAAGCTAGATTCGAAATTTTAACGCGCTTTTCCCGTTTCTCCAATTCACACCTTTTCTCTCCAGCGAGATCTTAATCCGGGAAAGCCATGGCGTCGTCTCCGTTGACTGCGAATGTTCAGGTATGGAATCAAATCGTGCTTTTACTCAGATTAGCTAATGAATCTATCAATTTAGTACAGTGTATTACGAACATTTAAGAAAGCTTTAAATTAGAGTTTGTTCGGTACATGTTTATAGTTAGTAATTAATTCGAAGACTCTTGCGAATTGTCTTGTTTAAATGTAATTAGGATATATAAATCGTTGGATTTTGTGAATTGAGCCCTTTTGCTTGGTGATGGTTTCAGGATACTAAAGCTCCTTCGAGGAATAGAGTTGAAGAAACTGAGGAGGACAAGCAGATACAATTCAATGAACAAGTTTTTGGAGGAAATGACTATGCACCAAAGGTTTTGTTTCTTTTAAAAGTCTAATTGTCAATCTTGTTATGTGAAAGTGATGATCTTTGACTCAATTCATCTTTCATATTTAGGTACGGAAACCGTACACGATAACAAAGGAAAGAGAGAGATGGACTGATGAAGAGCACAAGAAGTTTGTTGAAGCCTTGAAATTATACGGCCGAGCATGGAGACGAATAGAAGGTAAAAATGATTGATCTAGTAATATTTACTTGCTACTGAGTTATTGCCTGTACAATTCTCAACCATCGCAAATATGTTTGTTTCACTAAACAGAACATGTGGGCACAAAGACTGCTGTTCAGATTCGAAGCCATGCTCAGAAGTTTTTCTCTAAGGTCTATATACTTATTTGCTATAATATCTTTCACAGAAAGTATCGGTATACCAAGCCCAAGTACTGCTTGGATCATTGTTTGTAGACATGTGTTCTGAGTTAACTCTGTTCTGTTGTATTCACACAGGTTGCTCGAGAAGCAACTGGAGTTAATGGAAGCTTGGTAGAGCCAATTGTGATACCGCCTCCTCGTCCCAAGAGAAAACCAATGCATCCTTACCCGCGTAAGTTTGGGAATGAGGCAGATCAAACTAGTAGATCGGTTTCTCCCTCAGAACGAGAGAACCAATCTCCAACCTCTGTGTTGTCCACTGTTGGATCAGAAGCCCTGGGTTCCTCTGATTCAGATTCACCCAATCGAAGCTTGTCCCCGGTTTCTTCTGCATCACCACCAGCTGTAACTACTGCAACTGCACCTGAAGAGCTTGAGTCTCTGGTAGTTAACAAAAACAAACACCCATCTGCGAATTTATATCCATTTGACGCAAAAATGATAACCGCTGTTCGGTGCTTAATTTATTAATTTCCTTTGTTTGATCAATTTGTATAGAAGCTGGAGTTGTTTCCAAGAGAGAGACTCTTAAACAAAGAGAGGTCGATCAAGGAACCAACGAAGCAAAGGCTTAAACTCTTTGGGCAGACAGTTTTGGTATCTGGTTCAGAGATGTCCTCTTCTCTAACAATTTCAACTTATTGTGAATCCCCAATTCAGCCATTACCACGGAAACTCTCCCGATCCGAAACATTCCCCATAACAATAAACCCACAAGAAGAACTCATGAGTTGTTGGATACAAGTCCCTCCTAAGCAAGAAGAGGTAGAAAACAAATGTTTAGACTCAGGAAAGGCTCTTCAAAATGAAGGATCATCGACTGGATCAAACACTGGTTCGGTGGATGATACAGGACACACGGACAAGAACTCAGAGCCAGAAACAATGATATGTAAATGGGAGTTTAAACCTAGCGAGAGGTCTGCATTTTCCGAGCTCGGAAGAATAAACTCTGAGTCAAATTCAAGAGGATTTGGTCCTTACAAGAAGAGAAAAACGGTAACAGAAGAAGAAGAACAAGAGATTCGTCTCTACTTATAAACTAGGACATTTTCGCAGGTACCCAAAAGAAAAGTGTTATAAATTCAGTATTCATTTAACTTCAAAATGTTTCATTAATGTCATCTTTTTGTTGTTTCATTGTTTTCTTCGAGCTGTTTGTTGTTTTAGGCTAAATTTGTAACCGAAAAACCCTTGTACAATTCTTTCTAAAATCAATTTAAAGTGATTATGAGATCTTTGGTGAAGAGTTTCCTTCAGATTGCAGATATGGTTACATAAACTGTAACAAAAGGATATATAATTTGTAGTGGAAGAAGCTGGAAGAGCCAAAATCAAATGCTACGGAAACAACAAATAAAAAAAAGTTGCCTCTTGAGCTCTCACAAGTTCCTTTATGGTAATCACAATGCTGCCTAAACAAGGACATTTTGATTGAAGACTTGCGGTTGATTTTAGAATATATCCCAATCACATGAAATCTAATTTCCAAAGAATTGATAATAAAACGTAAAT